GGTGTTTTTAATACAGACAATGACAGCCGACATTTTGAAAGGCACTCTGCGGTGACAAAACTAAAAGCTATTCACTTCTGTCCTCAAAGCACTGAAAAGCATCATAAAGAGAAAAACACTTTAAACACATGTCAGGTAAGACTTTTAGCTCAATATTTTCATGCTTCTATTGGGAAAGCAACGGTTTAAAAGCCAAAATTATTTTGTGCGCCAATGTAGGCTGCTATAAAATGTCAGACAGGCGGTTTCTTTTGAAGTCTGGCTCTGAAAAACAATCTCATTTTTTGAGTTTGAAATAAGCCTTCATAAGGACTATTGTGTAGAAATGTTATCTATATCCTCACATGAAAAAGATAACCTAATATTCAGGTATTCCACATAGCTATAAAAGGGTGAAATAAGAACTTTCATCTTTGGTTGTTTGTCAGATGTGAGAAACCACATTAGTGCCATTTTGTTGCGCGTGCTATTTTATAAAATAAACACCTCAAAACCATAAACTTTTAGTTCAGAAAATTACAAAGTTTCCCATAGACATTATTAAAAATGTTCTAGTGAAGCGATTTCATGATAAATAAGGGAGCGATGGGCCCAAAAGAACTGCTAAGGTTAGTTTTTGTTAGGACTTCAATTTCATGGCTTCCCACAAAGGAAGCCATTTCAGGGAGAAGCAACATTTTGCAAACAACCATCGCGACCTATTTTGATAACTTTTCCTTCTGATTCAACGTGTAGTTACTACAAAATGATGTTGCATCAACGTTATTATCTGCTTTATCGATTTAAAGTTTTATAGGGGATATAAAAAAACAGTAAAAATGCATTTTGAAAGCTTTACAATTCAAGTGCGGACTTTTTGAATATTCGCACGCGGCAAGCAAGCGCGTTTATTCAATACACTTATTTTAAACCACAATATGTCTGAAACGAGTTGTCATTTTAACACTTTAATTGATGAAAATAGATATAACGGTGATTTTGGAATATCCTACTTGTTTAGTGTAATTTAATACTCGAAGTATTCTTGCCAAAAAGGTCAAGAAGGTCACGTACGCACACAGTAAGTGTCGTTTGAAATATACTATAGCTAAAATAACAACTTGAACAAGAAGACCAACAATGGGGTCACGAAAACAGTCAAAGTTGCACCCAAATTTGCATAAACAGTTCGTCTAAAAAGATAACTTTAAACTAGATTCAACCAAAATTAATGCGGTCGAATTTTGTGAGTGTTTGATTGCATATTTCTACTCAAAAATACCCTTTAAAAAATCATATCTGCTCACTTGAGTTCCGTTCTTATCTTTCTTGTGATTTCCGACTTCTATTTTTAATAAAGTTTGGAGAAATCCTCATCTTTTTGGCTGAAATTCTTGCGCATGGTTCACAGAAGAACTTGGCCCAAAACGTCAATACATTGCTTTCCTTTCATGCCAAATTTTCGTTGTAAATCATTCAAAAACGTCTTCTTTTTTCTCTTTTAAAACTTGCTGTGAAATCTTTCTTTGCAACAATATCGCCATTATTCATTATTTTCGAAAAACTAAGGTTTTAAACTTGAAAAACTTTGCGAGTTTTTGGCCGATTTTCTTGCATGATACACCGTTGAAAAGCTCAAATTTCGCGTTCTATTTTCGTATCCGTTGCTAGGCAACCCGATAAACACGTGCTCAAATATCATGCCCGCAAGTTGAGGTGTCATTTGAGGGCGTATGCGGGCGCATTGCCAGTTACCCACTTGCCAATCTCAGGGCGCATCCGGGCGCATTGCCAGAATGTTTTAACCACGAGGCACAAATTTGCATGAAATTAATGAAAGGGATTGAAAGCTAGGAAAAGTAAAAGTGTTTTAACTACTTGGAATAGGTTGGCGTGTCACCTCCAGTACTGTATTTGCAAATGGATAATTGCTTCAGAGACTGCAAAAACATTCATATATTTGGTTTCTGTGCTCTTCTGGTGAAGATGGGTGTGTTTAGAAAGGTGCAGTATAAAATAATATAACAATGCGTTGAACATGTTAAACTATATTTATTAATATTTATAAAACATTATCTGAACGATCAGCATTTAGTGTTGAAACAGTCAAAAATTGTCACAGTCTAAACAATTGTTCTCATTAATATCATAAGCTACAAAGAAGGTAAAATCGAGTACATAGTACACACATTAAATAGTAACAAAGAATTAATGCAACACATATACCAAATAACCTGCAGGAAAAGCATGCATACATGTACGTGTGTGGCGTGAAACTTATAAAACGATCACATATTAATTACATGGGCGTACTGGAAGGAAAAAATTAGGGGGGCAGAAAGAAAATTGCCCGACTTTTCGAATTCTGCCCGACTAGTATCAAAAAAATTTTTCCGGAAAAATTACTTTGCCAAAAAAATTTCGGGGTCAAAAAAATTTCGGGGTCAAATACCATTTTTTAGGGGTCAAAAAATTTTTCCGGACAACCAGTTATTTTTCGAACATAACACAAATTTTCGAAAAATCGCAAAATTTGCCAAAAAATTGACTTAATTTTAGACAAAATTGACAGAATTCGTCCCATTTTTTTTATTGCAAGCCAAAATTGCCCGACTGTTGATCGAATATTGCCCGACTGCCCAAAAAACTGGGGGGGCTACCGCCCCCCCCGCCCGGTACGCCTATGATTAATTATATTGACTATATTTTTAGGTTAAATTGTCTTACTTAATGGTCGGTCATACACATGAGGATGTTGATCAGGTAATCGTGGATATTTAGTTGATAACGTCGGCTCACTAACGATCAGGGCCGGAGTTGTAGCTAGAAGGTAATCCGAATATATCGAAAACTGTACAGTAAGTAGATTCTCAATGATCTGTTCATATCTTTAGATGTTCAGTAGGATATCAGCCACGTTAGGACGACGACCCGCTCATACACTACGATCTCTTCACGAAGCAATTCATGCGTCTTTTACCCCAGAGCCAATTACTGCAGACCTTTGTACCATATGGGATGTGAAGTCATGGTTACAGCCGTATATCCCAGCGCTAAAAAATCATTCCCGTCACCATTCCTTCAGATTTCAAAAAGGCAAGGGCGAATATGCAGAACATGTCGAAATGTGTTACCGCAATTGGTCCAAATGTAAGCGGAAGGAATGGCTACCAAACGAAACAGGCAATATAATTTGTACCCTTAATGTTGCACCAAAAGGATCTCCATCTATATTACGACCAGAATATAGCAAGTGTCCCAGCGTTGACGATATGAGATCTGGATTACAGCAGTTCAGCTCCAGACTTTCGGTAGATGAATCAAATTGGTGGCTAAATTTTATTAAGACGGAAGAGGAACAACACATGTCTTGGGAACAACGTACTGATGAACAACTTAAAGCAGCTGGAAAATCTTTTTCATTGAAAGATCTGATATATCGAGAAGTCAAGATTGACTTGGAATTGATGTCCGACGAGGCTACTGTGAAGAGAATAGCCGAGCTTGAGAGGCTGATGGATAAAAATAAAACCTTTCCAGAGGTAAGGTTTCTGCTATTGTCAACACACTTCATTTATTAGCTGAGAGCTAATTTGCTAATTTAATAACATAGCACCACATATATGGCATTTCAAGTGTGACGAAGACAGATTCCAGGCTAATTTTTATATTATTGCGTCAATGAAATAGGTGTCGAGTGTCAACTTGTATGGGTTAAAAATATGGACAAATTATATCTCCAACGACATATCCTGTTATTCCTATACCATTACATGTATATTTGTGAAATGTTACTGCCTCATGAAAACAGCATAGGCCTACCATTTCGATTACGTTGCTATTAAAATTAAAGAATTGTATTTTCATACACTACAGATTGCAATCGCTTGGGCCGCTTGACGAGTCTAGGCTACTATATGTACAGTTGCAATATTATTATAGCACATTCTATTTTTTATCTTATATAGATTAAAGAGATCAAAAGAAAGAAAAAGTAACTGTTTCCGATGTCCCCAAAACATCAATATGCATCAGTATGGTGTATGGGCATTCTTTAATGCAGACAAATGGCCGTCCTCAAAAATAAATATATAAATCACGGACTATATAGATTAGAGTCATCACACGAAAAGAAGATATTAGACATGAGTTATAGCACTATGGTTATAGTCAACCGATAAAGTTGACTCAAGCGCCGAGCGAGATTTGAACTCGCACTTTCAGGACTTAGTACTAGTACTATATGATGTGATCCGGTCCGCTGCTCTTCACCTCACTGCGAGTTGTTTCGATCAATCACAATTCACAACGCTCTTTTAATTAGATGCAAATACTCAAGTGAGTTGGTTTATGCAATGACTGGAAAATAGTCTTTATTCTACAAAAGATTTTGGCGGACTTACACGAAGGTGTAAGTTTAAATTCCGCTCGGAATTTACGTTTGAACTGTTATATATAGTGTCTTTGAACGACAGCGGTACAGTATAAAGAATTAATACCATGTTTGAAATCTTCTCTTCAGGTGATGATAGTTTTGAAATTAGGTTGAGCATTCTGTTGTAATCTATTCCTTGTCGTTCCATGCATGGTAGTGATCCAGTATATAACTGCGATTCTGCTCCTTGTTGTTCCATGCATAGTAGTGATCCGGTATATAACTGCGATTCTGCAATGTGCAATGTATATATGTACGACACCAGCGTACGTTTCAGTGATTTTACCTATAATACGCATTAAATTAACTCATGTTTATATCAAGACATGAGAAACTAAACTAAAATTGATTTTTTTGTCATTACTATATATTCTCCCAACTACATATTACACGATTGTATTAAAGTAAAATAAAAATTTGGTACATGTAGCGACTATATAGCCATTGCCTGTCAATTGCTTTCATGCGACAACAGAACCCAAACAATTCGGCGTTATGAAAACTGTTTTGCCTTCTATCTTTTTTCTGTCTTTAGACACGTACGTTATATATGTTTATAAGTTTATGGTATTTCGGTCACTTTGATAAACATGTAGAGACATTGTTACGTGCAGCTATACATATTTTGTTTGACCTTGCCAAAGATAGTGTAGAAATGAGGGGGATTCAATGTGATTCAACTAATCCACATGTTGTTATTACGCTTGTCATATTATCTCATTGACATTAGATATTACGGATGTGTGAATGGTTAAATGCGCAAATCAGTTCTTGGTATATAAAATACATGTTTGGTCCGTGGACTCTCCTCCGTAGAGCCTAATATCAATCTAGTTTGAAAAAGTATAACACACGATGTTGAATATACACGCAACGTGCGTCTCATTAACAAACCATAATCACTATCCAATTAAATAATTCGGACGTGATTGGTCAAACACGGAAATCAGTTCTTGGTATAAAATACTTGATTGGTTCGCGGATGAAACCATTTTAAGACTAATATGAATTAAGTGTTGCAATATATTCATGAGAGGAACACCGTGAGTTGACTGCAGCGGGATTTGAACTGACATATTCAGCGAACTTGCTGAGTGGCTGATGCTCTACTGTGGACTGATCAACTCGAACATTCTTCTCAGGATGGCGAGAGTGTTTCGGCACTATTTCATAGCCATCATCAGGGAAATATGATACCCTGATGATGCATGGCCATGATGTTGCGTCCGCATTAATGACCGCAATACTAAAATATGAAACCACAATCACTATCCAATTAACAATTCGGACGGGATTGGTCAAACACGGAAATCAGTTCTCCGTATAAAATACTTCATTGGTTCGTGGATGAAACCTTTTCAAGACTAATATAACAGGTTATTAAGTGTTGCGTTCGCATTTTATTAAAATTCAATATAGATTCTGATTGGTCAAATTAGGAACTGCAGTTCATCTTTTTAAAGTTACCTATTGGCGAAAACATGAAAAGATTTCGGTGTTTCCGTGTTGATTTGACTATTAAAATAATTGATATATTGGATTTCCCATCATTCTAGTGTACCTGTTACCCTGCACAGATCAAAGACCAAAATGACTAATATTTAAAACATTTTCTACAATAAACTTCAGTTGACACAGGATTCATATCGTTAAAGCGTAATGTGGAATACCTTATATACACTACACTGTACATTTTGTATGTACCACGTCGTTATCTGTGTCACTCACATGAACACAGTATATTGTATGTCATTGATCGATCGCCTTAGTGAGTTTATCTGCTTGGTGAATGTAACTGTTTGGCCCTGGTCTTAATGGTTCATCTCACTGGTTAATTAAGGTACAGTCCATAGATTATCTAATATTCATATTTATTAAATATGGTGATAAGCGCATAAAGTTAACCAACTGTGAGTAATAACACTGCACACTTGGCGCATTTCTTCATTATCGCGCCAAAAAGCGTGTCAAAAAGCGCGCGTTATTATTCAATAATTAATTAATATACTTTGCTTCGCCCTTGTCATGTAAAGCAATAACTATGCTTATCTTTGAATATTTGTATTCTTAGACTTAGCTGTTGCACTATACCATTGACAAAAATAGTTTTGATATAGGCTGACAATTAAATATATGACATGATGATTGGAATATGAAATTCATATGATCCTTCCCCCAACCTTTATGCGAAGCTTTATATAAACACAAATATATTCCTTTTCAATTTAGCTAAATGGTTATATGACTGGTATAATATGAATATAATATAGTGCATGCTTAATATAGTATAGTATTGCGGCTAAAAACTGAATGAGTCTCTTGGATGTCTTTGAATAGTCAGGTATGTGATCACAAATAATGAATATGTGAAATAGTATATTTTCTACTGTCGGCCACAGTTCAATTTAATGGACCAGTTTGCTATAACGTTAACAGTTTTTATTAAGTATGTTCGCTTTACTTGCCACTCAAGTTAAAGTTAACAATTGCACTGTAAAACAGAAGCAACAGACTAATAAGGCATGAAATGTGGCAGGAAATAGTATTGATATGTGAAAATTAAAAACTGTTGACAGCCTTATTAGAAACAACGCATGTGATTGGCTAAAAACAGAAACCAGTTCTTGATATTTTAATTTGATTGGTCCATGCATGAAACCTTTTCAAGACTGAAACAAAACTGCGTAATTCTGTAATGCGATTGGTAGAGAAGTGAACTCATTTCATAACTTAAAGGTCAAGGCTTGAAATGTCTGGTTCTTCATGGTTCTTGTCTGGTTTGTTTTGGTCCACTGTTCTTGGTAGTTAACTTGGACTTTAATACTTCATTGTTAAGTGTTAACAGTAGGTCAAAATCAGGTTAAATTATGAAGCTAACTTGCTTGAACTTCATTTGTTTTGTTCAAGTGTTAACATTATTTACACTAAACTTAATTTATTTTGTTGAAGTGTAAATTAATGCTATGCCTTGTTGGGATTCACATTACATTTTTGTTTTGTTTGCATGTTATTATGAAGTA